AACCACGTGTACGGTCCAGACATTATACTATACTTCATGATTTTCAGTTTGGGTTCACCGAGTGCATTCTGTAATCCGAGTGCTGAGAAGAGGGCGGTTGTGGTTGAATCGGTCATTGCCACAAATTACACTTGGGCGCTACCAGCACTTTTTTATTGGGCCAATGTTTTTGATGTTGAACTGCTTTCATAGAATTTTATTGGCGCCCAACCATCGCCCATTTATTGTGTGATCGATTTTTGAAAATCCAGGCCATTTGATTTTCTGAATGAGGGTTTGGGTGAAGGACCCTTGAAACGGACTTTTATTTTTCAATTCATTTACAAAGGCTATGTCGAAATTTTCGAATGAATAACAGAATTGCAGCTGTGGAATGTGGAACGTGCTATTGGAATGCAGTATTAGGCTGCTGGCCACAGGTGGGACAAGGATTTATTTTACCAGAAGAGTATTTATTTTACCTAAGTGAAACTTTAGTGCAACATTCACTGGTGGCCAAAACTAAAGCAACTTAAATCGCAAAGACAATAAATGTCCTGTAACTTTTACAAAAATAAACAAATCGTAATTATTTTTCCAGTTTTAAATGAGGGATTTAATTCACTTTTAAGAAACTAAAAATAAAAATACAAAAATAATTTTGAACGAAAAACAATATGTGGAAAACTAAAATGACCCAATTTTTGCTTGGTCAAAACTAAAGCAACTTTTGATTTTTTATTTTAAAATAATTAAATTTTGGCTAGTAGTCGATAGCATAACCATTATTTTTGATAGCAGCTGCACACCTACAAGGCATTGAATCTATAACACGCTCAATTTGATCCTTGGGTGTGCTTTCCCAGGCACCCCGAATTCTTTAGAAAATGTTGTGCTTATTTATTTCCGAATCTCTCTTGATCTTCCTATCTACGACACTCCAAAGGTTTTCTAAGGAGTTTAGGTCAGGTGATTGTGTCGGCCATAACAAAACATGAATTGTTGACATCCGCAACCAATATTTGACAAGTTTTGATACAAGTTTGGGATCATTGTCATGCTGAAACACCCAAATCAGCCGAATATTTTACTCAGTGTAAGGGAACAACGTGATGTCCAACACATATTTGTAAACAAACCGATCCACAACTTTCTTTATTTTATGGGTAGGCCCAAGTCCATAGAAAGAAAAACAGCGCCACGCCATTTTTGACCCTCCCTCATGCTTCACAGTACCTTTGCAACACTGCGGCTTGAGTCCTTCATTTTTTGGTCTTCTCACCGTAAAATTTTTCACGTCTGAGCCTTTAATATTAAACGTGGACTCATCCCAGAAATAATGTTTTTTTCCATTGAACTTGATTCCACTTAATATTATCGTTTCCGAAAGCCTTTTTGATTTTTTTCAGATATAAATGGTTTTTTGATGTCTTACGGGCATGCAGACCAGCTGCCACTACTCGTCTACGCACTGATCTCGAGCTTATATCCAATGATTGCTCTCTTACCAATCCAGTTGAACTCTTAAATAGTTGTTTTTTATTTCTGTCACAATTTGTGGATCAGTACGGGCTGAAGTTTTTCACGGCCTTCATCCGTTATGGACTGTTACTACAGATCCAGTTTCAAAAAAACCGACTTAGTATACAGAAATAATTATGGAATCACATAAATATTTATGAAATATTTCTCGGAAATCATTTTCTGTGATTTGTTGTTTTGATAGTCACTGATAATTTGCTGTTTTATTCAGGTACTGTATTTGCTTCTAACAATTTTTAAATTTTTTGGGCAGTACTTAAACAACGAAAAGAAAAACCCATACTGTTGTAAAAAACTTCTCAAAAAGGATTTATGACAAGCGAAATTGTCGAAGGAAGCAAAAAGCGATAAATATCTCAGTAAAAACAATCTGAAATTGCAGCGGTTATATGCGTGTACAATAGAGTTGCTTTTGTTTTGTCCAAGCCAAAATCCGGTTAATTGACTTTACCAAACATTATTTTTTATATAAAAATGAATTTTGGTTTTATGTTTTAGGTTTTTAAAAAGTGAATACAGTACCTAATTTAAAACAAGAAAAACTTTCTCATTTTCTTAATTTTTGAAAAAGTTACAGGGCAGTCATTCTCTTTGTAATTTCAGTTGCTTTAGTTTTGGCCACCAGTGTATATTTTAATGCTAAAGTATTAGAGCTATATCGCGCTAACGAAATTCTGTGGCAGCTGGTTTAGTTGATGGTCAAATTCCAGCGAAAGAAGTGTCAATAGCGTCAATGCTTGAGACTAGTGAAACTACAAACATCCTCCTTTGGTGAAATGCAAGGGCTCTACACCGATACCGACCAGATCTGAATCCATATAATTTAACGTTATTTTCATTTGGTTCTATCTCGCATGTGGCGAAGAGAAAACTGTTTTGATCAAGGATTTTTTTTTTGTTACCAGTCCCTGCTTAAATGCCTAGATTGATGTACAATACACCCATGACCTTGAAACGAGATGGACGAGAGTACACTTATCAGAAATGGATCTTCTTCGTGTACGAAATCAATAAATTATTGCCTTTTTGTTTTTGAAAATCTCGAATTGGAATGAATCTGGGATTGAAAATAGCCAAAAGATAATCGCCAACTGTGGCGCTCATCTCATCAGTAGCATTTTCGAATTCAAAGGCGACTGTTCGGTTCAATATATTTTCCTTGCCAAACCGAAATGTTGATTAACTTCGACTTCGATTCGGTGACGTTGCTGTTCCACATAACAGCAAGCTTGTCGCTGATTCTGACAACGATTGGTGTTGTTGTGTATTTTTCAAAATTCAAACATAAAATCGATGTCACCCACACAGCGCCCCCACCCTGCCGATAGTGGGTCACGCTCACTATTTCATTGGAGTACCGGCCCATTTGATGATGCAGCGCATCGTGTCCATGGGCGAGGGTCATCGCACCATCAAAGTTTGGTTGGGAACCCAGTTGAATATGGTTTTTTCACACATCGACGATATAGAGGCCATATTGGGTTCCATGAAACACCTGCAGAAGGCGGCACAATATCAAGCCCTGGCTTCGCGAGGGGTTATTGATTTCCACCGGTTCTCACGTCGGCCTTTCATTTCAACATCTTAACGGAATATGTAACGGTTTTCGATACAAAGTCTCGTCTGCTGGTAGAAAAGATACGTCACCATTCCCTGGACAAAGCCAATGACGAAGGATTCGATTTCTATGAAAACATAAGCCTGTGTACCCTGGATGTCATCTGTGGTAAATATTTAAAGTGAAGCAAAAAAAAAAAAAAAAACAGGTCCAGTAAAAGAGATTGAATTGAGAAAAATGTATGACAGCTGCAAAAAGGTTCAGTAGGTTAAATCTCACGGGGAAAGTAAACAGACATACCTCATCTGTACAAACTGTTGTTCTATAACCCAAAATTCAGTAAATGAGAGCGAGTGAAGAGAACAGTTTTGAATAGTTTTCTATAGCCAACATCGGTTGTAAAATGTCGGATCCAAAGTAATTCTACACACTTTACAGGGTCTAAATGGTACTTTCCGACTCCGACGGACATAATTTATACATGGCGGTATTCCTAGAAAGTCATACTTGAATATGGATCCAGCTGGACATAGTACCCGTTTCGGGTGAAACTGAGGTGAATTTCGAATATGAACATGGCTAGGATGACTGCAAATGTCCTTGAAAGGATTTCAAAAAGAGAGATTTTGGATTATTTCAATGTAACCATAAAATATGTCAAATTGAATTGACATTCGAAAACTGAAGTTTCCACAAAAAAAAAAAAAATAAATAACCAGCCCTCTTCAAATGTAAACCCTGGACATTAGCTCGCCTGTGACACGCTCGTCGATTTTGTTTTTCAATGACGTGCCATTTTTGCACACACTCCTCTTGACCTTTCACTTTGTTTGTTTTCCAACAAACATACACTCCGACTCAGACCCAAGAATAGACACGTCCGAACAACATGAATTTGGAATTTTCGAAAAAAAAAATCGGAAAATTTCGATAATAATTTAAAGTGTTTATTGGATTGGAGATTAGATTAGGTCCTAATCTATCTCGCTATCGCTATCTCGTTGACGACTAAATAAAATGAATAGAAAAATATTTTCTTCCAGTGTTATTTCGTCGCTCTCACCAATACTATTACATTGGGCATCTAATCATTAGGACGAGTTAAAATGCCTAAGCGTAATTACCTGCAACTGCGAAGAAGTCAGTTCTGTTTTAACTTTCGACAGTGATAGCAGATGGCAGCCGCCGCCTTGATAAACGTCCTCCTCTGTGCTGGCGGATTGTTTACAATCCTCAGCACCATCGGCCTGGTGTTGTATTTGGTGAAATTCAAACACATGATCGACATTACCAACAATCTGCCCAGCCCGCCTTCTTTGCCGATCGTGGGCCATGGCCACCACTTTGCTGGGAAGCCCCCACATGAAAATATGTACACGATTTACGAGTTTGCCTCAAAGTATGGACCCACCTTCAAGGTCTGGCTTGGTACAGAGCTGAACATATGGACATCCGATCTGAAGGATGTCGAAGTTATTTTGGGCACGACTCGCTTCAATGACAAGGCTCATGAGTACGATATGCTGGAGCCGTGGCTGAAAGAGGGACTGCTCACCAGTCGTGGTCGGAAATGGAATTCGCGCAGAAAGGTTCTTACGCCGGCGTTCCATTTCAAAATTCTGGAGAGCTTTATTGATGTTTTTGAAAAGGAGTCCCGAACACTGGTCGCCAACCTGGACAAGGAGTATCGCATGCAGACGGATAAGGGATTTGATTTGAATGATTGGGTTAATTTGTGCACCCTGGACACGATCTGTGGTAAGAAAGAAGTATAATGGCTTGGCACCGTCCTCCCTTTTCTTGACAATTCCAAGGAAGTGAGTCATTTCCCTTCGACTGTTAGGTTTCGTCAAATCATGTCCATTCCTTTGAGATGTTAGATTAAAATAAGTAAAGTCCGTGCAAATTTGGTCTTTGCTCGAAATCAGACAAGAGATATAGATAACGTCCACTTCAGAGGCAATGCAAGTCGAATATTTTATGGTTTTGTCGTTTCTCCTTTGATAAGAAATCTAATCGCCCCTGTCCAGCAGGGGCCACAACAAACTGTCCAAATTTTCTAAGGCAGTGCAAGTCCAGCTGCTGGTGGCGTTGAAAGATGATCGCAGGATTAATTTACGTTGCCGCTTTTTGCGGCGTCTGCTTGGCGCTTTTAGCCGCGATCGGCCTTATCGTGTATTTCGCAAAGTACAAACATATTCTGGATGTGACCAGCAACATTTCAAGTCCACCTACCCTACCTTTGATTGGTCATGGACACCATTTCCTCGGCAAGCAGTCGCACGAATTTGTGCAGGTGTTTAAAAAGTTCTGTTTGGAGTACGGACCCACGTATAAGCTGTGGATTGGACCATCGTTTCACATACTCCTGGGCGATGTCAGGGATGTCGAAGAGGTCCTAGGTTCCACGCGATTCAATGACAAGGCCCACGAATATGCAGCGTTGGAGCCATGGCTAAACGAAGGGTTGCTTCTCAGTAGCGGCAGGAAGTGGCATTCGCGCAGAAAGGTCCTTACACCGGCTTTCCATTTTAAAATTCTGGAAAATTTCATTGGGATCTTTGAGCGCGAGTCCCGTGTGCTGGTTGAGAATTTGGACAAGGAGTATCGCATGCATTCGGACGAGGGATTCGATTTGTATAATTGGGTGAATTTGTGTACCCTGGACACAATATGTGGTAAGGAGACGGGGGATATTTTGACATAGTTGCAGAACAAAGGCAAATGTCGGGGTGTCAAAAGTGTTTTTTGTTTTTTTCATTGAAATGCAATACAATGTTTTGTTCGAAACGCGAAAGTGAACTATCGTATCAATCAATGTTTGCTATCTCATAAATACACCACCACTTCTGTGACAAAGTTCACGGTGGGGGGTCGGGGGTTTACTATCAAGCATTGGCACGTATTTCGCCAATTCGGACACTTGATTGGCTGTGATAAGATAACACTAGTGCTACTGTAAACAAAAAAATGTTTGCGATCGGGAACATCTGTTGGGGTCTGTTCGGTCATTTTTGCAGTAGAGACTATACTGAGGGTCCCGATCCATATACGAGTGATTTCATGCGAAACATGAAACTGTCAAAAAATATCCATTTTTTATTTAGATTATTTACCAAGAATTTAAGTGAAACTAATGTTGCCTGAAGGTGTGAATACTTTAGCAGCTTGAATTTCCGCATGACATATTTTGTGACATATCATAAAGGGATGCCAGAATCCTGTCGTTTTTTCCTATAATTTGGCATTAAGATGACAAGTTATGATGCCAAGCTGCTTATACATCCACAACTTTTGTGAATTGAATGAATAAATTAATTTATTATTTTGAACCTCCACATTCGTGTGTGTGGAGCTGAGTTACCGGTCTAAATGTTTTTCACTTACCGCCTTTAAGTCTCACTTGTTTCTGTTTTTTTTTTTGTTTCTCTTCAGAAACGGCAATGGGCGTGTCGGTTAATGCCCAAACCAATGCCGATTCCGAATATGTGAGAGCCGTAAAAACGTAAGTAACGCCACTTACCAAGCATCTGGCATTTGTCCCATCTTGAATAACCTCCTCGCCTATCCCTTAGCATTGCCATGGTATTGCACAAACGTATGTTTGACATATTGTGTCGTTTCGAGTTGACCTATCGCTTCACCAGACTGGCCCGTGAGGAAAAAAAGGCATTGGCCGTTTTACACGGCTTCACCGAGAAAGTGATTGTCCAAAGACGTGAAGAACTGTTGAAAGCCCAAGAAGCGGGAAAACTTGATGCCGCCGACGAAGATACCGGTTCGAAGAGGAAAATGGCTTTCCTTGACATTTTGTTGCAATCGCAAGTGGACGGCAAGCCCTTAACAAACATGGACATCCGCGAAGAAGTCGATACGTTCATGTTCGAGGGACACGATACGACGTCTTCGGCCGTAACGTTCTGCTTCTACAACTTGGCCAATTATCCGGAATGTCAGCAGAAATGCTTCGAAGAAATAGTACAGGTGTTGGGTAAGGACAAGTCGAAACCCGTAACCTTTGAAGACCTAAATAATTTGCACTATTTGGATTTGTGCATCAAGGAGACGCTGCGTATGTTCCCCTCGGTGCCACTGCTGGGCAGGAAAGTGACAGAGGAATGCGAGATAAGTATGTTTGAATTCAAGAACTATTTTCATTTTGGCAACATAAAATATCCATTGTTTATGTCTTCCAGATGGTAAAATTATTCCCGCTGGTACCAATATTGGAATTTCCCCCCTGCAACTGGGTCGACTGGAGGAGTTGTTCCCCGATCCGGACACCTTTAAACCGGAACGCTTCGAGGCAGGCTATAGCACAGAACGGCTAAACCCTTACGCCTATATACCCTTTTCGGCAGGACCACGCAATTGCATTGGACAAAAGTTTGCCGTCTTGGAAATTAAAACCATTTTGTCCAATGTCCTACGTCACTATTCCGTAGAATATGTGGGACCCGGTGAAGAGGAAATACATCTCATAGCCGAATTGATATTGAGAACCAAAGATCCCCTGATGTTCAAAATAAAACCCAGAGTGTATTATTAATATGTTGTGCCAATAAAAAAAACGGGGGAGATTTTATTGGGAATCGATGTGCATCCCAAAAAAAACCTTTGTGATTTTCATAGTTCTGATGCTGTGCTTGGTTCTGGGCGATATAACAATCGAAATGAAATGTGTCAATGAGCGGACATCACTTTTCTACAGTTCTAAAGAAAACGAAACAATGCGGAAATTTATGAATAAAAATAGCTAAACATATTGGGCTGACATATATTTTGCGTTGAAACATATATACATAAATAATGCGCAATAATACGCAAACATTGCTGAGCGAATTCCACGTTTAGGTGGAGCATGAATATTGTTCGTTGGGATCAGTAGGAAGTATTGAGGGACAGGTATGACAATAAAAGAAAAATACGCTTTTAAAAGCAAGGAAATAAAAATAAATGAAAAATACAGTTTTATTAACTTTTACATTTTGCCACTTAGGGAAGTATATCGACGTAGACAGAAGAAAACACATCACAAAATAATGTGTAACATATGCATCATACAATTATCACGTTGTAGACATGGTAGAAGAATATAGGTAAATGCATCAAAGCTGGCGAACATTGATATGTCAACATTTTTTCAATGATTTTTCAAAAATAAGACTATATTTATATGTTTTCTTATACGACGCCTATCAGAGGTTATTAAGATATGCATTTTTTGCAAATTTGTATAATTTTTCATTCAAAATTTTCAATTCAAAAATTGGTGTGACAATTCATTGACCCAGCAGCTGTGTCGAAGCGACTACCTGTATTCTTCGACCATGGTTGTAGAGTCATTCATGTTTCCTTTTACAAGTGCAAGCTATATTTATCCGCAGGGATATTATTATTAGATTTCCAAAGTAGCTCAAGATATTTAGCTGTAAAACAAATCCAACTCAAACGATGGCCCCTGGCCATCATTTCACAAAAAGAAAAACTAAAATCAGGAAACAACTTTCCATCGTTTCATCACTGCAGGCGGGCAAAGCCCCTGAGGTTACGCTGTAGATTGCATTTGCATTGAATTAAAAATGGCTTTTCACTTAAATAGTTTCCAAATAATAATCTTTATTTTGTTTTCTCACACATCGGTTTGTTGTTTTATTTTGTTATTTGTTGTTATTAATTTTGTTGTTGTTGTTTTTTATAATTATTATTACTTTGTTTAAATATTGCTGGGAAAGGAGGTAAATACACAAAATCATATTCACATTTTTTTGTCTGTTGTTTTTGTTGTTGTTGTTAGGTTATGAAATTGGAAAAAATTATATTTTGTTCTTTCATGTTTTTCTTTTGTATTTTATTTTTTAATTTAATATTTGTCTAAATTTAAATAGGGATTTGTTTGACATAAAAAATCGTTTTTGTCTTTTTCGTTAAATATAATTGTAAATATTTGTTGTTTTCTTTTTTTTTTTGGATTTTGTCATTTGGTTTTAATGCTTATATCAGTATATAGAGTATATAATTGGAATATATAGTTGTTGATTCTTTTTTTATCGATTTGTTTTGTTTTTGCTTTGTATATATAACATTTATAAAGATACATTATATAACAAGTCATAAATTGGGAGGTTGATTTTTATCATAACAATTTGTTTTTCTTTTGTTGTTAATTTGAATGGATTGTAGAACAAAAAAAAAAAGGATAATACGCTTAAACATTTGGAAGCTTAAAAAATAATTAATAAAAACCAAGAGTTATGTGTTTTTGTGGACAGATATCACACATGAATGTAATAACGGAGAATATAAATACTTCAATTTAGTTTAAGAAGTCGGTCTAGAAAAATTTTCATAGAAACCTCGTAATATTTTAAGAGTAGATCATCTTATGGAAACAAAGAAGAAGAGAACTGGAGGAATTAAGAGACAAATATTGACATTTCTTTTTGCAGTGCTGCTCAAGAAAATAGCCCTCTCACCAGTCAATTTCTCTTAGCTTAGCATTATTTATTTCTTTATTGTTAATTATTAGCTTCATTACTAGTTTCAGACAAATTTCATATTTAATAATATTTGAAATGAGTCATAGAATTCAAAGAAAAATCGAATATTAATTCTCTGTTAAATGTTTCCTTTTGCGTTTCGGTGATTTTTAATTGGGCAAGCGATTTTAAAAGAAGATACATCTCCTCACTCTCTCAGAAAAAAAAACTGCTGGACAATTCCTGCAGGAAAATTAATCAGACGTCTGTCTATTTTTTATTAGGAAGTGTAGCCATTGACTAGTACTACTACTAGTTTTCAAAATCACCTTTCATAAAGATAACAAATGACTTCAGTTAAATATAGTCCACAAAAATTCCAAAACTCATATGTTTTGTTGTCCCCACAAGAGAGTGGGGTAAAACAGTAGCTAAAACAAAATAATTTTTATAAACTGCAACTAGCAATAGAGTTATAAATAAAAATATTTACCTTTTTGTGCCTCACAATCATCATTTACTTATTCTCATAATAGTCAACTATCGATTTGATTTTCTTGAAATGTATTCAACTATCAGTTACTTTAAATTTTGCTGCTAATGAAACATATTACGTATTTTTTTATTGTTTCAACATTTTTCCATAAATGTTTGAAGATTTCAGTTAAAAAATGCTCGAAAAAAGAAAAGTTTTTTTTTTTTTTTTTAATGAATGCATTTGAATTGTGGAAACTTAAAGTAACAAACCCATTAGTTAAATAATATTTGTTTGCCCAAAGTTGGATTTGCGCCTTGAACGAAAGGAAAGAAATTTTGTAATTCATCATTAGTTGCAAACGATTTGAAATTTTAGTTCGGTAATTTCGACTCTGATCAATTTTAGATTCGTGTGTGTTTTTTTTGTTTTAATTTATTATATAATCACTATGTTTATAAAGATGCATTGTTTGTTTTAAAATTCGTTTACATAAATTATTATCATTAAGAATTAATTGGTATTGTTACACATCCGGTACAGACGCCGGTTCCGTATGTATACTTTTGTGTTTACTAATTTCATTTTTTGTTGGTTTCCATCTTTTTCATTATTAATAAATTTAAATAATTTGATCCGCTAACAGTTTGTTAAATATTTATATTAAAATTAGATTAGTTTTTTGTTTTATTTATTTTTTTTTTCGTTTTTTTTTTTGTTCTATTAGTTAAAAAATCTTTATGGGCAGTTGACGTTGTTCACTTCTTCTTACTTTTTGTTTTGTTTATAAATATTTGTTTTAACTTGTCTTAAGTAAAAAATGTAGTACTTTATCGTCGTATATATAATTATGTATATTTTTGTTAAGGATTTTCATTTCATTTGAAAAAATATTTAATATACAAAGTTTTCGTTAGACTTGTTCTGGAACCTTTTTAGGGTAAATTTTTGTTTTTTTTTTTAATAATTTACAAAAAATTTAACTCTTTTTTTTAACGTGGAATTTCAGTATTTGCTCAACAATATCGTTTTGTAACAGTACTAATTTTGGTTTTGTATATAAATTTAAATGCTAAAGCTAATGTGGTAAGTTCTATGGAAGTCAGTTTTATCATTCATTCATTTATTTACTTTTTTGTTTTGTTTAATTCATGTCACAAACTAATTAAAATCTGTTCCTTAGAAACTATTTATACACATGGATGAAAATCATAGGGATTTCCAGTTAATTGAAATTATTAACACCTTAGAAGATGTTGTTAACCTGCTCTGCAGAAAATTATTCTCAAAGAAGCTGACAAATTTGAGAATTTTATTTTAAATTTGTATATTAAACAATGAATTGTTAGGTTTACTTCAAGTCGACTGTTCCGCCTGAAGTTCTGAAGTTGTAAAGGTGCACATACTAATCTGCCATGCCCTATGAGTAAGCAAAGCAAAGTCGTAATTGTATTCAAAAACCAATTAATATAATTAATGTTAATACAATGCATTAACACATTAAGAAACTTGGATCAAGGCTTATTTAATAAGATCACACCGGAAACGAAATTTCCGTGTGAAATCCATCAGAAAGGAAGTTATTTTTAATATATTTATAATTATAATGCGAAAATCAGGCAACAGCTGGCCTTAACGTGTTACCTTGTAAATACGCCTTGGATTACGTAAAAGGAACACCAAGATTTGGTTAAATTCAAAATTGCAATGAATTGTTGTCCCAAAATATTTGTGATAATTTAGAGATGTCAAATATGGGAATGATTTCTTTGATCAAATATTAAATAGTCTCATGCATGCCAGTTTTAAATGTTAAATTAACTGCGTAATCAGTCTCTTTACCATGCACGTTCGCTTTTGCATTATTGTAATATGACTAGGTATGGCACAGAAAATTATAGTTTCCAATCTTTTCATGCGCCTGGGCCCTCCCTCCCAAATGTCTTTAGCTTTGCTTTAGAGATAATGAAATATTAAAATTCCCACGAGCCACTCTAAGAATGCCAAGCAACGGCATAAAGTGTCCCTACTGCTATCGCCGAGTGAAGCCAAGTCAAGTTATTGCTTGAAATTGAGAACTTCTGCGTGTAAGCGACATAAAACATAAAAATTACAAAACATAGGATAAAGAGTTCCAATATTGACGCGAATTCAAATCCTTGCACTTCAAAGAGAACTTTCATTACAAACTGTTAATGACAGCTGTGTGTGCATGTATTACAGGCCACCGAAGGTAAATGATCAGTTGATTTCCAGTTTCCAACTAAACGATTTGTATATAATTTCTTAATTAGTCTAACATGTAATGTGTACATGAATTAATTATTAATTAAGTATTTCTATGTATTACATGTGAATTTGTATTTATTATTTATTCAACTAAACTAGCAAATACTTTTCATTAATCAGTCAGAATATTTATTTTTTATTAACTCAAAGACACATACAAGGTATAGAAATCAAAACAGTGGTTAAACAAATATATATAATCGAGATTCTAATTTGTTGCTAAGGTACATTTTTCATTGGTTTTTTCTTTGTAATTTTAGGACACAAATCAATGTAATGACGGTAGTGCTAAAAAGTACATATTTGGAAAAGAGAAATCGAATTCGTTGCAACGTCTGTATCTGTGCTAAACTTTTACAGAACGAAATTGTTATTGTCTTAGCCGTCATTTTATCAAATGCTACCTAAGAAACAAGTTATATCTAAGGTGTAATTTTTCACAAAACTTACCTGTCTGGCAGTGATCGAATTGAAGGGCTTTTTGTAAAACACAAAGGATCGCGTAAATTTCAAGAATTTTTATAGACTAAGATGAAGAAATTTAATTATTAATCATTAAAGATTTATAAAAAAAAAACAATTACAAGGTTATCCATACTTAGGTAGCTGCACCATTGACAATAATTTCAATGTTAGGCTAGTTATTTTTACAAAAAGACCCTTCAATTCAATTGGTTCAATTTCCGACGTACATACTTCGTCTGTTTCAGAACCTGCAAGAATCTACTAGTGTTAATATCATAAACCGATAAATCGATTTTAGATTCTTGCATTTCTGGAACCGACCAAATATTTTGAGATAAATGTTTGTGGAATGCTTTAAAATAAACTAGAAGAAATACCTACTGGTGTTAAAAGGGTAAAATTAAAGGAAAAATTCAACTTAAATTTCCAGTCTTTGTTTTATTAAAACTAAACGAACAAAAACGAAAAAAAAAATCACAAACATATTCAAGTTCATAGTTCTTGTTTTCCTAATCTTAAAAGTTAAAAATAAAAATATAAGTCTTTCATGTAGAAAAAACAAATCAATTGTTTTTCTTTTTCTTTTTTTTTCCTTTTGGTTTTGTTAGCAATATACAAAATGGTTTGTTCTTTTTCTGTGTTGTTCTATACGAATCGTCTTAGTATGGGAAGTAATAATTGAATGCAGTACTAAAAAACAATTACGAATTTATGTATATTAACAATAATTTAGTTAGCTTATACAAGAATGAATTTAACCTAAACATTTTACAAGTCATTCATTATTAATTAATTAATTCATATCGTAATACTATTGAGTTTGCCTTTGTTGTTGTTGCTAATTAAAGATTAAATATTTATTTACACTAGAGTGTGGCTGAATTATAAGTAAGGATAATGATACGACTTGTTGCGATAAAAACCATCCAGAAGACCAGAATAGTTGTACGCTGTGGGTAAGAGGCAGGATACGCACGAACGTGGACAACCACCAGTAGCATGAAAAAGAAATTCAAAATATTTCCATAATTATGATGCTTTATAGAAAAATGTTAATAGGAAAAAAGAGGAAAAAAGAATAACAGTTTTGAAAGGAAAATATAAAAAAATAATAATTCCTAAATTTTTTTGGGAATATGGATTGTTTATGGACTATGTTTTTCATTTTTGTTTAAATCGGAAAATCGTAAATTCAATTAAGTCACTTAGAACTAAAATGTTGATGCTAAAAACCCGAAGTAAGACGAGTTGTAAACATTTTCTACTACATAGATATGTAAATTAAATTGAACGGGTAAGTGCAAAACGGGAGCACGACTTTCTTTTATTGTTCTGATTGAAAATGGAATTCGACAGGGAATAGGATCAGCTAGTAAGTTATGAATTATGGAGGTGTATATTTAAATTTAAAAATAACAAAGAATAGTTGTTAGTTAATCCGAATTTACATTAGGCAGGTTTACTTACGGCAAGTCTCTGTTTGTAGGAGAGAGGGATGCGATGGATAGAAAGGGGAAAAATTGGTCGGCAATATTCTGATTTTATTTTTGTATAAATATATTTATAAAAATGACAGCAAAGACTGTTATGAAAAACGAAACGAAAATTGACGAAACAAATTGCATTCTGTAAATGCAAGGACCGAGTTCTAAAGAGAACGAGAACAATTGTCGCAAATAATCTCGCCTAATCCAAATCGGGACTTAATTTTTGTATAGTTTTCAATCATCACTTGAAATTATTCTTAGTCAGTATTTGCAGGACTATGATATTACTTTCCTCCTGGAAGTTACGTACATTTGTCTTATATTCAGTTGGAAATGGTTATGATAAGAATATTTCTTGGAATTTAATTCTGTAAAAGTGTGATGCAATGGTCATTTTAAATGAATTTTTGGACGGGCTTTGTTTATCGCGATATTCATTCAATGAAGTATCAATATTTTATATTCAAATGACTTAAAAAGTTTGTTTCGCAAGGCATCTTTACCAGGTCAAATAGAAGACCAATCAAGACCTAGTAATCCATCAAAATTGAATAAAACAACACTTGTACTGAAAAATTTCAGTCATAACAACAATTTAGAATAAGTATTGGGTTGTTTTATTCATGTTTAATGGTTCTTATTGAAAGCAAAAAAAAAAAAAAAAAAAAACGTAACGGCTCAAATTCGCCTCAGGTGTGACATTTTATTTTAATTTGTTAAAAAAATGTATTTGCGATTGTTTTCACTGTATTTCATGCACATCATTAAAAAGCTTAGGCATAATGGGCTTAATAGACACAGTTATAGTTTATATTTTTTTCATTTAAAATAGTAAAAAAAAAAACTTATTTAAAATTTTATAAAAAAAAAACTGTGTGTGTTTTCACTAACAAAAAAAAAATAGGTATATGAAAAAAAAAACAACAAAAATGTTTCTCACCTCATTTGGAGACAATAATTATAAACATAATATCAATCATTTTTTCCTCAAGAGCTGTTTTTATTTAAAAAAAAATAAAAAAAAAATTATTTGGTTTTTCAAAATATGATTCTTTGTTTAAGAACTCGAGATACCGATATCTTTGGGTGGGGGAGCAAATACAAGGAAGCATCTCTTGGAAGTTGCAAATATCGGTTGGCGCATACTTACCACGCCCACCATTTTCATTTTGAATAGTTTGCTAGAAGTAAAAAAAAAACAACAAAAACAAAAAAAATATTCTTCCCGTTGATAAAGATGACTCGACTCATCTTTTTCTTTGCATATATACCATAGATGATTTAAGTTTTCATTCAACTCAGTGATTTATCACGAGAAAGAAAAACACACACACACGTAGACAAAAAAAAAAGGTTTCTTTTGTTGTTGAGAAACTAAGTTTTTATTTCTAATCTTCTACAAAGATAGTTGTTTGTATTTTTTTTCTTCCATTTTCTGCATTTCATATTAATAGAATTTAATAATTTCAAATATGAATATATATGTATATTGGGAATCTAAAGTTAACATTGTATTAATATAGACTTTCAATTTTTGTTGTTGTATTGTAGTTGTGGTGATTGTATTTATTTAGAAGTAAGTTAAAAAGATTTTTCCATATCTAAGAAAACGCTAATTTGAGAGTTGAATACTCGTGTACTGCCAGTCCTCATGATATCCTTTCGATTTGATTACTTTAATGGTGATATCACAAGGAATTTCCCCTGTTTAAAGAAGGAACACCTTTTTCATTTCAGTATGGGAGACTTTTTACTATTTTCCTTCCGAATTCTTATTTTGACTTCCTAATTTTAGTGATGTCTTGATTTGTGTTAGACAATTTTACTTGAGCAAACTCCTGGTAAACTGTTTTCAATTAAGTTTCTAGTTCTTCGTCGTGCGAAACAATTTCAATATTTTGAGAACAAAAGTTGGTGATCTCAAAGGAAAATCATAAAATTTTCTACAATGAATTACTATTTACTATTGAAAAGAGCTATAACGAAACTCCCATTTACAATTAGCTTGTTACCATTGCAGACAATATTCCGAAAAGAGAGACTTTTCCCAAATTTCTTGTGTTAATATTCATTTGCAATTTAAAAAAATTAAATTTTGTAGGCCAATTCGAACAAGGGAACATTAATTCGTTGTGAGCGCTGAAAGAGAATCTGTTTGTTCATCTTCGAAATGGCATGATTCGAAATGGCCTCTTAAACTTTTGCTGGCTTATTTAATACACCAGTTGTTTTGTTTGCTCATTGTTCTTGAAGACTATTTGTTAAGTCTCTCGTCTATTTTATACTTATATTTATTAAAAACCCCTTTCTGGTAATACAGAATAAGTAACGACATCATTACGTGGAAAAACGTTTAGCTCAAGACCAAGTTAAACAATTCTTAAAGATGTTTTCTTTAAAAACAATTTGTAATTAAAAAAAAAAAAACCTTATTTGTGCTCTGCAACTGGATATATCCCCTTAAGTTAAGTTAAAAGCGATCATTTTAGGATCATATTCATGACACAAGATGGAAAAATATAATTTCTTTTAGCATTCGGCGGAAATGTTGCCACAACTCTCTTTAATTAATTTAAAATGATGTTCGCAAGGATAAGCATAATGGTTCTCCACAGAGTCATTTCATTGGTCTTAGTAATATATATATATATATATTTTTTGTTTTTGAAAAGGAGGAGAGAACTACTACAACTATTTATATATTTATGTTTATATATGTGTATATTTTGTTCAACTCAGGGAATATGTATGTGTCCCGTATTTTGTTATAGACGAGCTTTTCTTTGTCACGATTCCTTTAAAATGTATGTACGTATGTATACTTATGTTTATGTGTGATACATGCCACGTTTTCTTCTAATTTGATTATATATGTATGTATGTGTGTTATTATATTGAGAAAAAAAGAAACGCTCTTAGTTTGCCTTCAAATTTATATGAATTTCTGGGGATTATGATAGGGATGTACTTTGTGATTGCGCATTTTATTTTGTCTACCTCTGTGCACCATATTGTTGTAGCCAGGGCCAGCAGCGGGAATGGGGGCAGCCGGTGGACCCATTCCCAATTGATTCATAAAGTGGTGGGCCTTCATTTTGCCATGCTCCTCGGCCAGACGCACAGTCAGGGGCTGTGAGGCACCTTCTGGTATGACATTATTCAAGGCCGATATGGCCTCTTGGGCTTCTTCGCGTTTATTGAATCTGTAGAAAAATAAGAAAATAATGATTATTTGCAACCAGTGGTGTATGATAGTAGCAAATTCAGCTCCAATTATGTTAATCGCACTTTGAAGATCCCCGCTGCTGGCTAAAGAAAACCTACCTTACAAATGCTACACCTCTCGGTCTACCAGTGAGTTTATCTCTGAGAATGTTCTTTTGTACAATGTTGCCATATTTGCCAAAGATCTTCTCCAGTTCGTCGTCGGTGATTGTACGTGGCAAATTGGTGACGTATAAATTGGTATCCTTAATTGATTCTCCGCCGGGTCGGGCATATGAAACCTGCAATTGGTAGGTAGTATAAGGAACGAATAGCATTTAAAAAAGAAAACTTCTTGTCTAGAACAATATTGGTAGTCTGTCTGGGTGTCTGTCAATTATGTGACACCTTATAATAGGTAAACTCAACACCGTTCTGCTTCAGCGCCAGGCATCGGTGCTTAGCAAAGCAAGCAATCGTCCCTTTTCTCTGTAATGATAGTTTGATTGTAGAATGCAGCAAAAACACAAACAGCCAGCCTCTACGGCAACACGGGCAACATCGTAGACATTCTCATCACGTCGGCAATGCTAAATGTACTCTTCACGTGCATGACTGCGATGATCCACGTAAAACGTACACTCGATTGGCTGCCATTAAGCGTGACAATCGAAGTAATTAGTTCCAGATTAAAAACGGAACAACTTCCTCGTACAGGTGGCCCAAACAGAGAATTTGTCAAGCTAGAGAATTTGCCATGGAATGAAAGCAGAAGTGGTTGCAAGTGGAAACGAATCCGTACTGAATGCCGTCGAGACAAGCGTGGTATGGCAGAACAAACATTGCCATGGAATATACATTTTGACGTCTGTTGCTGGTCGAACAATGCTTTTTGGACAAATACACACACGTACCCACACACTCGAATCGTGTGGCAGAAAGGGGAGTGCGGGTGGAACGACGAGTGTGCGTTAAACATCGCACATTAACGACACAAACCAAAAACAAGATTAATTAGTTTTTGTTGGTGGTATGCAAATCAGCAGCTACCAAGGAGAACAAGAAGAATTATTTAGCGAATGTCAACGCAAAGAAAACAAACATAAACAGAAAGGTGTGTGCGATATGACCAACTCGACACCCTGGAGAGAGCAGCGTTTTTTATGTAATTGAAAACATGAGTTATTAAATGATTGATGATGGATGGATGGAGGAAGTGGTACACAATGAACACCATTCCATCTACTTGACTGCCGCACCATGTGATGGAACATATACGTTTCATGAACATTAATCCTGTTCCCTACGACTGATGATTGTGCTAAATGATCATACTCGTCGTCATTGCCATCCTGCATGATTGACTGAATGGAATGAATTAATAATCAACAGGGAGGGTTGATACGGAACTCCAATTCGAAAAAGTTAAAGGTAAAGAAAAAGTCGAACGCATATGATACTGAATGAAAACTAAACTATTATTTTTTTTAATTTGTTTAATGATTTTTTTAAGAGTTAACCGCATTACCAGAAAATAAGAGTTATCACAGAATGAATAGTGATAAGAAAAAACGTCACCATAGTATGTAACAAATGTGTTGGTCTACATTTTGAAAAGCCATAACAAGAAAAACCTATTCATTTCATTTCTAGACGACTTAAAATGTTGTTACCTTGTAGCCTCCCTCTTCCTATCCTAGCCAGAACAAATTGCATGAAACGACGTTACATCAATCTTCGGTTTTAATAACTTTGCAAACAAAAGATGCGAGAACAATCAACTTCACGAAGAAAAAATGTTGTCAGAAGCCAACCTTCATGCAATGCTGTTACTTGGCAAATATTATCTTCGCGCGGTGTCTGTCAGCTTGCCTGTCAACATTTCTCTCTGGGTAATGTAAGGTAAGGTAAGTACAGGTGGGGAATTACACAATTGCATCTCATAGCCGGTTATAAAAGCAACATCGATATTCAAGGAAAACTAAAGAGGATGCTCAATATGAAAGGAAAGCTGTGTGTCGTGAAGGAAAGCTGTGTATAGAAACAACCCTCTTCATGGTACACACACACGACAACCAAACGCGATACAATGTTGCACAAGTGGTAACGAAATCCTTCATGTTACTTCGAACAAGACAGACAGACCGACATCGCCATCATGACTATCACCACCAAACACCAACAAAGCAAACAATGGAAACGACGGAAATTGATTTACATCTTCACTTTCAAGTGCAAATTTAAATCAATGTCGAGAATAACCGTTTGTGCAAAGAAGAACGAACGAACGAACCGGCCAACCAATCTGCCAGCAATGAGCAAAGGGAGGCCTCCTCCTAAGGAATGACAACAATGAATAATAAACAAACAGAAAATATGCTTACCTTTAAACGTTTATTCCTTACTGTAATGCCATTTACGGTTTTAATGGCATTTTGGGCATCAATTTCGGAGGCAAAATCAACAAAAGCATATCCAAAACTGTAGCCAGTCTGTGAGCGTAATTAGGGTAAACAAAAGAAAAATAGAAAAAGTTAAATGCAAATCATTGAATTATGTTAAAAAAAAATAAATAAAAGTCAGACGGTGTAACATTGCAAATTTCAGACAATAATGACTGGCCATTCCAATGCAGTTGTATATTTTTGATAAAAACATTATTATTTCTTCGGTTTGACACTCACTCCTTGTAATCTGGATCCTAGTTGCGTGCCTGTAAAACAACAATTTAATGCACGAAACCAGGCTATGGAGGCGAAGTGTTAATGACCTTTCTGTGTGTGTCAAATTTGCTCTGCTACACCATCCTATTAATGTAAATAGTCTTAAAAGTTGTTAAAAACACATGATGTCCTCTCTCTCTCTCCGCGCAGTTATATTTAATTTTTTTTAACACTGACAACGAACAGTGTATCCAAGATTCATCATAAATTTAACTTTTAAATATTCGATGAGGTGTGCAGCCAGGCAGGCAGTACACGCCATCGGCGCATCCTTCAAGGGGTAGAGAATAATGCCTGTCAAATGTTGTTGTTGACACTTGACACCACATCATTCTTTGTTTATATGAAGAAAGAGGAACATTTGTTGAGGTGCGATTAGGGAAATGACAACTCCCTGTGCGAGGCAGTATCTCTGTGCTATTTGCAACAACTAGAGTGCATCTTACCTTATAGTCTTTCATGATTCGACAAGTGTTTATGGGACCACACGTTCTAAACAGGGCATATAATTCACGATCTGTCATGTCCTGAGGCAAATAGTTGACAATTAGATTGGTGCCATTGACGGCCTGAGTATCTCCGCCGCCACCGTCGCCGCCGCTGTTCAGCGAGTTTGTACTTTGCGCCGGTGCCATGTTACACATGGAGCCCATTGCACTGCCGCCACCTGAAAAATCATTATAACCTCCGCGGCCGCGTGGATTCATTGCCGATGGACCGGGATACGATGATGTGAAATCTGTGTCCTGTGGTGAAAACGCATAACGTGACTGAAATATCAAGTCAAAGAATTTTGAAACATTTTTATTTGTCGTTGGCGCTTTTGTTGTACTCGATTGGGATTTGGACGGGGCATTTGCTGGTGCTTCCGGTCCTCGAACATAATTCTGATTGTTGTTTTAAATTGATTCTTATGTATGATGTAGGCAAAAACATTACAAGGAATTTGCATTCGCAAGAGAACAAAAATGCACACACACGCACACACACACACATAAACAGAGACAGAGCCAGAGACACTGTCTGGAACGGGAAAGGATTCCGAAGAATATAAAAAACCAAAATTTTTGCAAAGAACACAACACATTGGTGACTGATAGGATTCCTTTATACATATGTTTGTTGGGTTGGTATGACTCTTGTAACCATCGGAGTATCAATGCAAATGTTTCGTATTTTTATTAATTTGTAGATGGATAGAGTGGAATTCAATGAGCATCTACTTGTTTCTACAAAACATCTACATTTCTATATAAAAAAGAAAAAAAAAAAACATAGAAAACGCTGACACGAAAATGGAGCTTTGTCGCTCAATTTTTCTGTGTTTTTTGCAAACATCAACAACAACACACAACTAGAGACGAAAAACCAAAAGGCTTGACCAAAGGAAACCTATTATTGAACCTTTTCGTCAATTAGGGATTACATATAGAAGTCACAAAATTAATAACCGTTAAATAACAACATTGAATAAATAGTTTTTCCTTATGCGAATGAAATTTAAAAATATTTTAGAAATTTTATGTTTTTAATTAAAAAATTAGATTTTATTCAAAATAAAAATGTGAAACTAATGGTGCATTAACTATGTATATCTACAACCAAAAATAATGCTTTCTTATTTAACTCACACACATATAAACACCAACAACAAGAATACCAATAAAAACACCACATTCACATCTAATCAAATGGAGTAAATGAATGAAAAAAAGGCGAACAAAACCGAAAAAAGGAACTACATTCTACATCCGTTTGTTGCGAAACAACGTCACATCGCACACAGTGAGCGTCGTAAGTTTGTGTACTTCGTATATGTCATGTAGATTTTGACGTCCAGATAATAATAGATGAATTTACAGTTAATACGAATTAAAAGTTCCCCCATCGAACAGAGACGGCGGAATACATGTTGTGTTCTGACGCTCACTGTGTGTAGACGACAGCAATGGATATGTTTGTTTGATGATATATATATATATATATATATATATATATATATATATATATATATATATATATATATATATATATATATATATATTATGTGTACTACATAAAGAATTTTGTTGTTAGTATGTCTGTACATATGTGTGTGTGTTATTTGGTGTAGTGTAATGTATTTGTCTAGCACTATTGATCAGTAGATAAATTTAAATATATGTAATTAAATTCTATTAAAAAATATAACAACTATGAAATACAATCTGTCCACAGACATACTTATATATATTCAAATCGAGGATAATATTGTAATTCCAAAAAGATTCTTATCGACTGTGGACCCGATATTACATTTTCTACATTTAGAAGGAGAGTTGTTACTCTCCCAAGTGAAATAAGAAATGACTTGCCTTTACTTGGAAATAAATAATCCCGCCATCATGGGACTGTTCTAAAATGTTTCTACAGGTCATTTTCTATCTAGGATGGCATGGATGGGGTTAAGCAAAACATGGGACATAATATGCTATTTGTTGGGACATCCGCCTAAGTCTGGACTTGTTCTTAGATACAATGCAGGACTTGTTCTTAGATACAGTTCATACTAATATGTGTCAAAGGTCTTTCTGGATTACTAAAAATCCACCCGATTTATATTTCTAAATGATTTTGTTTATATAAATGTAGTGTTTTTTGTTACAGGGCCGAGTCCCCTCCCGAAAGGTTTTTTTTTTTTTTTTTGCTAATTGCCCCCTAAACGGTTTCGAACTGCATTTCTCGATACGTCTCTGCTTCGCTTGTGTAATAAACACACACTAAAGTTAACTTAAAGTTTTTTTCCATTGCCGCTTGAACTCCGGCAAAAGTAGATGGCGAAGTTCAAACCACGTTGGGTGGCATGATTGTGACATCTAATGTCTTGACAGGATAAGAAGAATGCTTCATTTAATTCCGGCTGTTGCTCGTGCATAAAAAACTTTTATAATCTCTAAAAAGGTAACTACCGACAACAACTGCAAAAAACTGACAAATAACTGCCAAAGTTCTTGGTGGAATGATCCGAATGGGGTGTGAGAGAAACTAAAATAGAAAAAAGGATAACTGGGGATTGAAGTGTCGGCGGTGTATGCGTCCACGGCTAGAGTTTGTTATCTTGGAGAGGTGAAGAAAGCGTTGATATTTTTATGGCCGGCCAGAAGAATGCATGTATAAAGTTGGTCTCTAATTAAAATAGTAGTTTGTAAGGTCCTTTTGTTCTTTTCTAAGACAAGCATTATAAAACCCTGCATTTCCCTTCACTTTTGACAAAGGATAATTGAAATGAAAAACTGAGGTATGTAACAGCATAATCCAAGATTGTGTGTTTCGCCGCAATTCATAGGTGAAAAGTCATGGAAGCTTTCTATGTATCGCTCCCATGTAGAGGGTTGATGTTAACGTACTACTCATTTGCTCCACCCAGAAGTAATATTTTTGTTAGCGACGAGCTGACAATAAATGGTACGAGTAGTTCTTACAAAAATACGTTGTTTTTATTGTTTGGAATTGAATGAAAAAAAAACATATTTTTCGCCCACCTGGCTCACGTTTAGAAACGGAGAATACTTTTGAACCTAGCTATTGTTTAAAGGACAATCGATTGATTTCCCTGACTCTGTCACCTCGTGAAAGAGGAGATTTTTACTTCATAGAAATAAGTTTTTCAATATTCTTCTGACACTTTCGCTGTGCCTTTTTGGCAATTCTAGTCGCTATTGGAAGATGGAGTTTTCATGAAGAAACTTTACTACATTTGAGGTTAATAAGTATTTAATTGTTTTTAAGTTACCTAAATATCGAATAATCAACATAAAGAAAAAATATTAATAATACTTTCGTCGTTTCTAGATGTCGTTAAAATAAATACAGCCAAAAAGTTATTGGCCGAAAAGTTTTGTAGTATATCAATCAAATATTTGGAATTGCTTTTTTCTAGATTCGTTACATTCAGCATTATCAGCTGAGATATTCAATTCAAATCGAGGTATTTTGATATGCCCGGTGCATCTATTGCCAATTTATGAATGAAAGCAACCTTTCTATGTGTCGGAAATAAATGTATTAGCGAAATTAAAAATTAAATCTCTGTGGAAAAATTTCAAAATAGGTCAGGTGTAGTTACTCGATTCCGCGAATCACCGACCCAGCTATAAATGACCCAAGGGACAAAATATGATATTTTCATTGTAAAATGATCAATCTATTTTCACAGACTGGTCAGGATGGATGCCAATTTAAGTCCAAGTGAAGTAATTTTATTGGGGTTTCCATTCGACATCTAAAAACATCTTCGCAATCTAAATACTAAATCTACATTTATGCCTAATGTCCGATAATACTCTACATGGATATGAACTTTGTAAATGTGCTGTATTTTTGTGTTGTTGATTAAAAACAAAGAGTCCTTAATTATCTATTGCTCGTGTTGGACATATAACAGTTTATTGATACGTATATGTGTTTGTTCTTTGTTACGCTAAATTTTTGAGCGTGTGTGTGTGTTGTTTAAATGTACTCGTTTTATACTCATTTTTTTAAAGGATTAACGTTTGTTGTTATTGTCTGTATCTTGGAAATGTAAACAAAATTTATATTGTGTTTTTTGGATTGTTATTATTTTGATGTTGTCTAAGTTTGCAAAAGCATGTGTGCCTCCGATAATTCTTCTTGTTTTTTGTGATTTTTTTAATTTGCTGTTTTATTTTTTAGGATTATTTTCATATTTTAACAAAACATTTTTTCAATTCAAATTATCAAAAATGCCAAAAACAAATTTGTAAATGCATTCAAAAAACTTTGAACTTGAAATTTCAATAAAAAGATATTTATTTTTATTTATTTATACTTTATAGTTATATTAATATATATTTATAATAATATAAATGGGAAAGGATAAAACAATTTTGCAAAAAAGAAAAGAAACGAAGAAAGGATTCAGGAATCATGATGCAACTTACCATTCCAGAGGGTAGTGAATGGGACATGCGCCACATACGTTCGCCGCTAAAAATAAAAGAAATAAACTTAAGTTTTCAGGCTCAAAACTTTTGAAGTTTATTTTGATTTGTTTCACTCAACGCATTTCCATTTCGTAATACCGTATACACTCTATATAAGAAAATAAACGCATTTTACTTTTTTCTTGGTCTTGCGGAGGATACCTCATCCATCCCTCCTTTTCCAAGTCTATGTGTTTTCCTATCGCTCATTTTCAGTTATGTGGTGCCAAACAATTGACAAATTATTTTAGTTAACCTTGGCTGGAACTCTGCTTTGTCTGTTGGCTTCAAATGTGGACGCCTTAAAGTAGACACTGAACTTTCTTATTATTTACCGTCACACTAGAGGTGTGCTTGAAAATACACATCTTGCCAAAAAAAAAAAGAAAATAACGAAACGGAAATTTCGGAAATCGAATAAACGGTTTATATGGCCCATAAAAAATGCAATAAATTCCCAGCAAGCCAGTATTGTGTGTCTGTGTACATCGTGTGACCTTTGGCCTACGGCAAAAGTAAGCCAGTAGGATTTACCAAAAAAAAAAGTAGGAGAAAACAAAACCAGACATTTCAACTGCCTTGGGGGCGCCTCTAAAAATGTTTATGTTCCAAAAATGTTTTCCAATAAAATTATTTCTTTTTTTTTCAGAAAAAAAATGGAATTATTTATCATCAAGTTGTTGTGTTATTGATTTTCATAGGAATGAGTTGGACAAAATTTCTTGCTCATGTTTTCTTAGCGAAAACAGTTTCCCATATCTTTGGCCTAACCACACAAGAGAAGGGGGGGGGGGGGGGGGTTATTCATTTATTCATATTTTGCCAAATTTATAAATACTCGAGACAAATTGGATTTAACAGCCATGTTTCCAGTTAAACGATGTATATCTGTAATCCAATGTAAAAGAATGACTCGATTCTAATCGCTTACATACAAAGCGGCAGCTACTCATGATTTGGCAATAAATACAATTAATTAATTGAGTTATTTTTCAAAGAAGAAAAATACTATTTCTATTTGGAGATATGGAATACACAAATATACCAAATGCCGATTATTTTTCACTGTCCGCGTCTATGCAGGAGAGAGGTTAGCCCAAAAACACATTGGGCCAATTGAAATGATCAGTTATGGTCGAAAATAAATATTAATCACTCTTTGGAGGGCAGCATTTCGTACGGAAGTATAGCCAATACATACATACATACTCGTATAAAGTAGCCACGAATAGGCGCCACCATGGACGACAACATCCACAGGACCTTTACAGTAATAACATTTGTAAACAACGGAAAGAGTCGCAGCATGGGCGGAAGGAAATTGTTACGAAAAAAATGTATATAGCAACAAAAAAAGGAAAACGCAAACATCCCACCCCACCCACTCGCCGCCGTTCGTTCGTTTTAACAAATAGAACACAAAACAGCAAATATTCTAGCCAAAACTATTAATAATGAAACCGCCTTCTTTGCGTATCTACGGAATGGTGAATCGTTTTATACACCGCGAAAAAAGCCAAAGCGGGTTATAATCCAAAAAAGTAGATTTTTTCGATATCTCGCCCCAACCAGAGGGCGAGTTGATTTCTAACGACACAGAGTTTATATCAACTCACTGGATATCTGTGACCAAAAACAACAACCCGCAAAATAAGGGTTTTGTCGCTCTTCAAGTAAATTATATTCTGTTGGTCCGTTAATTTTCGTCACCGCAAATTATTACACTCGTCCCGAAAGAGAAATACACAAATAAAATCCTAAGCCTGAATCTACAAGGGTAGTGAAGTTTCATGACATCTTTTCAAAATGAAGCGGCCAAAGCGTGAGCTAATGTATTTCAATTGTATCATGATATTTCATGGCGCGCCACATATCAGCGCCGTCATAAATAGACTTTGTTTGGTTTCGATACCGATCTCTTAACTTTAGTCTCTTTATTATTTATTGTTTATCTAACAAATATAAACTTTTTCTCTTTGTGTATTACGTCGTTATAGCATTAGCTTCCAGAGAAGAGACAGGCATACTTGGTTGGAGGTTTTAGTGGTTTAGCTTTCAAACGGGCAACATAAACATCGGTTAAACAGCAACCTCTGCATTTGCACCCAGCATCAAATCAAGATGAATACAAATCACTTTTATACCCTAACTGGCAGAGCGTGTGTGTTTAAGTCATCCAAAGTATTCCGAAAAAGAAAAAACAACACTAACCTTTTTTTTGCATCTTCCCCCCTCATCGAATTGCCGTTGTAAACAAAGTGATTAGGCCAACTTTGGGTTGGAAATTGTCGTTGGTTGTGGCGGTGGTAGGTGGGAGGGTGGTAGGTGGGAGGCGTCATTTATGACGACGATACGATTAGAAAGTTTATTGACTTTCTCCACTTTGTTGTTTCCTTGCCACTGCCACATCATCACCATCAAATTTATGCCTAAACTTGCTTCCTTTTGGGGTAGTAAGTTTTTAGAAAATTGTGTGCCATTATTTTTTCCCAGATAGTGTTAATTCTGAAGAAGCAATACGACCTTAATCCGGTTTTGCTTTCCTTTTTTTGTGTTAATTTTTTAAGAGTTCATTACTTTGTATTTGTTGTTGTTCTTTCTATTTTGCTTTATAAGAATTGTGTCTTGCTCTTTTTCCCTAATCGGAAGGCGCCATACCACAAAGAAAAGTTGAAGGCAACTCACATCTTGGGCTACAAAACATTAATGTAATTATATTCGGCCGACTGAAAGTTATTGAAACGTAAAGTATTTTTGACACTTTCCTTCTAAAATATGTACAAGATATGCCTGTATGTATCCTCTCCTGGGTACAGGCCAGAGCAAATTGACACAAATTATACATTTGAAAGGCAGAAAGAAAAGGCATAGCGTTAGGAGATTAGGTTTTAGGACTGGCTACTACAGTTTATAGAATTGTGTCCAACATTAGAGCTACATTGCAAAATTATTGCAAAATCAACTCGAACTTGTGACTAGATCCCTTGTGTAAATGAAAGACAAAATAACGTAATGGTTTATTTTATTATGAAATTGGAGTTTGTTCATCTGGCCCCAGAAAAATGAATTAATTATTAAAACACAGGTCCCATCAAAACTACTGACAAAGTTGTCCCAATCTCAATATTAACTCTCAACCAACGTCCGGCCACCTCATAGACTGAAGTAGAATTTTACGCTGATCAAGAATATATGCATAAAAATGAACTACTCCTGTGCTGCTGTTTTCTTCAAAAACCAAAATTCTTTATCAAGGAGTAGGGCGGAGAAAAAAGGGAATGATACAAGAAAAAACCATTACCTTCACAAACACAGCCAAAGTATTTTTCAAACGATTCTCCGATTTCCAAGCAACACCTTTCAATATCTAAACAATTTCCCATTTGTGGTGTCGTCAATCAAGCGTGAATTGACAATGGTGACGGGCACATCGTATCTAATGAACCACAAATGGCGATACACGGAATTCGTTCTTTGTCCCATGCTCATTTTCATATCAGATAATGGAAATAGAATGTCTTCTTATCACAAGTGTACAAAACAACACCAAACTGAAACATTAAAGATGTGACTGTCTGTCGTCGACCCTCAGTCGTCAGTCATTCGCTGCTATGTGGTCCTTTTGTTGGCCTGACATGTGTTGCATTTGTTCCCTCCTTGCCTTTTGCTTTGCAAAAGAAAGCCAAACATTTCCAAACACGCAAAAATGGAACAAATCAAAACTAAACATTGAATTTACCTAGGATGGAATGAGAATGGCTTGAAACAATTGAAAAGCATTCGTTCTTATGTTTGCTTTCATGCATGATGTGACAGTAGCAAGACAGAATGTAAAGGACACACACAAATGAATGTGGAAGATGCAGTTTGATAAGGCAAATCAAGGTGAAACCGAGAGCTGCATTTGGCACAACCTTGTGCAAAGGAAAAGAGCGGCCGATTCATTCCTAAAGGATCAACAAATTAAATGCAAGGACAGATATCAATCCACCATTTGTAGTTTATTTGATTTTTATTTCAAATATATAGAAGAAGCGATACTTGAGTTGTTACAAAACCAGTGTTAATGGCTCCGTATTCTTCTTATTTAATGTTGCACTATTAATGTTAAAGGTTCAACTCCATAAAATACAAACAAATTGTATATATGTATCCGCCAGTAAAATTGTCAAACCGAAAGAAACGCCTACAAATCGCATTCTTAGTGGTCCCTCAATTACGATCGAATAAAACACAATTGAACAAAAAATAAAAAAAACACACACACACACAATCAAGAATGACCCTCCTACCTCCTGGCGTTGCTACCGTGCAGCAATCGCGCGCCAAGTTAAACAGCGGAAACGAATGCATAACGACCATTTTTTTGTGTTTGCTTTACGCTTTAGTTAGTTAAACACAACAAAAGACGGTGCAGAAAAAGACATGTTAAACAAGTTTAAATATTACACAGACAACGGTCGGACTGCAAAAATGTCGATTGCAATGGATTCTCCCACCCAAAACCCCAGCCAGACCCCGCTCCTCGAACTGCTGGTACCTATATGGCTCTTTCAGCCAGGCCAACATCATCATCATCATCAACAAAAATTATAACTAAATGAAAAGCAGGCAAGAGTTTTTTTCCTCTACTCAAATAGTTCTTTTTTCCTTTGTTAGTAAACAGTGATGAGCTTATGGCGAAAAAAAACCCTAGACGTGGGGTGAGACGGCAGCAGGATGTGCTCTACGGGCATCAGGCAGTTTGGATTGTTATGTTGGTGGGCGGAATATTGCCACTGTGAATTACTTTTGCTTTATACTCATGTTTGGTGTCGTTCGTTTGTTCGTTCGCTCGGTCTGCTTCTTCTTTTTCTACTTGCCTTTGCCCGACTAGAGTTGGGTAGCACGAATGTTGGCTGGTTAGCTGACTGGCTGGCTGGTTGTGAGTGTGTCAAGGCCTTGACACAATTTCGAGATCACAAGTCGAACCCAAATTGCAAAAGCGTAACGTTGTCAGCAATG